ACATATGCTCAAAAGTGACTCTTCACGGGAAGGAAATCAATCAGGAGCTGTTAAGCTTTGGTGCAGAAAGTCCTTGAACCACAAGTTCAGGATTAAGGGAGCGTTCTGAGAAAGCATTGCTGTACCCTCGCCCTGCTTTTATGCTCCTCTCCAGGCAGCCAGCTCACAGCTGGAAACAGGGCACTGGGCTAGGCGGACCTTTAGTCTGACAAGATGCAGCCATACATTTCCATTAGGATTCCTAAGCATATATGTTACATAAAAGGCTATAATCTCTGCAAAGTCAAGTAGGTATAAAGTAGGAATTGCTATTTGATTTATCTTAATACCTGTTATTTTCGCTTTCTTCTCTGAATTGAGACTAGCAGCCCCAAAACACAATTGGGCTTTATTATGCTAGGCATTGTGTATGCGTAAAAGATGCTCCTTCAGCTGCCTGTGCTTCTCTGTACTGTGGACCGGTAGACAAAACGTGAGAATAGCTCTGCTGGTTTTATAATCAGAGAGAATTACTTAAGCACTAAATGCACTGAGCCCTGTTGTGGAAGCAGCAGTGGCTTGGTGTGAGTCTGGCACTCACAGTCTGGCTGTATCAGAATCTACCCTTAAGGTCTTGTTCCAATATGCCAGCCTTTGCTTCTCTACAGTTTAATATTTGTAATGATGTTTTATTTAGAATGCAACCTGTAATTAAGGAATCTCATTTGTAATGCTAATACCTGTAAAACGTGAAAGGGAAGTGTGGCGGTGGGTACCGTTGGGCTGGTTCTGATACTCGAAGGCCCCTTTACGCTTCTCATCAGTACTGAGATGGTCTTAAAATGAATGTAAATTATGTATCTTCCCTTTTTAAGGACTCTTTACAGTGCCAGAGAAATGTAAAGGGGCATTAGTTTAAAAGGTAATCAGACCTTACATTAATCTCTCTCGCTCTTCCCCTGTGTATATGTGCACATGCACGTATGCTTAAATATATATATCTATATGCGTGTCGAAGGATTAGTACTTTTCTTTTTTTAATGTTTGCTAAGGAAGTATAATACCACAGACTGAATTTTAAGAGGTCTAAAGGCAGTCTTCAGATCTTACACTGCATAGTCCTGATCTAGTCAGTTGTTGATCTTTAGCTGCACTAAACAGCTCCTAGGTTCCAAAATACTACAAACGGGAATGAATAGAACATATAGGGCCCTGAAACAGAAATACTGGAGGCAAAGAAATACAGGCTGGGCTAATTTTTCTGTTTATGTAAAAATGGTTATATGTATGAATATGTGTACATACATGTTTCATCCTTTCCTTGAAATACTCAAGCTGAAGGACCCTGTGGGCAGGAGCTCCTTGCCATAGAGCAGTCCTGTAAGTCCCCCTTATTCAATAAGTACTAAAATGAGATTACACAGAGCAGACTTTTCTCTGCAAATTGGTACTACAATCACCCCTTTGCCTTTTGTGCAGATTCTGGATGGGAAATTCAGAATATGAACCAAATATGAATCAAGTGGCCTTCGGAGCATATCCTTAGTCACTCCATCCTACTTATTCCATGCTGTTTCCTCCTCATCATTCCTTCTTTCTTATTTTGATGCAATGCAGAAAATTTTAGGGAAACCCGTGAAGACAAAGCTCACAATCTCACATTTGAATGTTTCTTATTGGCTTTTAGTGCTTATGTCCAGTGTTTCACTATGAAGGACCTACTGTAAAGCCTAAAATATTTCAGCACGATCTTCTATATACCAGCCTATCTCTGTAGTTACATTATAAGATGGAGATCGTAAGCCCGATTTTAGCACACAGGCACAACACACTCAACCTTTCAGCATTCTCATAAAACTTCTTTCCTGCAGACAGCTTCTCACTAGGTACTTCTGCCAAAGCATTAAATCTGAAGGTTTAATGGGGTGTCCTCTATTAGTGAAGCCTGTGTCCTGATCCAAAGCCCAGAGCAAGATCAGTGGGAAGTTTGTCACAGATTTCACTCAGTTTAAGAAAAGGACGATAGCTTCCCATTAGAGAAGACTTTCAGAAAACACAGGAAAAAACTCTGCAGATTTTTGTTTTCAGATTTTCAAATCAATAATACAAAGAGACAGTGTAAAAAAATCTAGTACTCCCTGAAAACACTTGCTTAAGTGTGCACTTACTTGCTAAATGTGTTTTTACTTGTTTACTTTATTGTGCAAAAACAGAGATTCTTAATATTAGCAAATGGCTGTGCATGCCAGCTTGTAATATCCACCAGAAGAGCAGGAGATTCTAGCAATGTACCACATAGTATAAACTCTACTAACAAATTTAGCAATTTCTGAATGCCTGAAAATAGGATGCAAAGGGAGCTTCCAAGTCAGTATCAGGGCGCTGAACTTGCAGTCAGACTGATGCTTTGAGAACCCTTTGCTCCGGCAGAATTGCAGAATACTGCATCATTTGTAGGACTGGGATTTAAGTTACTATTTTGTCATGACATAGTCTTTCTCTAGTAATAACAGATGGTATATGGCAGTTTTGAGGTGAAATCCTGACTTCCCCAGCTGCGTTGTTTCTATTATTATAACTGTTATTGTTAGTAAATGCTGAGCTGGTAGGCCATCCTGTGAGTTGCCTGAAAGTTGCCATTATACCACTTTCAACTGTTTATAATATTGCTAAATGGGGGACCATGTGGACTGGGATTATTTTTTTTTTTGCCATGCTGGTATGCCGCATTTCTCTCATTTTTTAAAATGAAACATGGGGAAAAGCTCGCGGGGTTTGCCCATGCCACAAGTTGTGATGACCTCTTCATGGAAATGACTCCATACCTCAGAGAAGGAACTGACTTTTGGGCCAGGAACATGTCTTTCACCAACCTGTTGAAAACCTAGGCGAATTATAATGCTGAAAATTCATGGTTTACATGTCATCGGTAGTGTTTTCTTTGACTTTAAGGGGGCTCAGATCTCTGGAGACTCTTTCTTAGGAGTGTGCATGGATATGTCTGACCAGATTATATATATCCCAGTGATACCGTTAAGTCAGCAGGATAAGATCAATGATACAAAATTCGGTATCACCAGTGACACAGCAGAGTTGAGCATGTTACAGGCAGGGGACCTGGACAAAGATTGGCATTTTCTGTCACTGTTTCTTCTGAGTGCTCCATGCCGGGTTCTGACTGGACAGGAACCTATTTGGTCTCTTCTGAGGAACATCCATTACCCTCACTGATGTCCAGACTGCATGGAGGACAAAAAATCCAGATTTACATATAAAAGGGATGAAAGCTAGATCAAAGACAGAAAGGAAAGTGTTAATTGAGACATAGATTCTGGAGAGAGAGTGTCTGGGGCAGGAAGAGGAAAGGACTGATGGGTTCCTGTAGGTATAGGGAGTTGGCAGCCTACTTGAATAGGGACCGCGGGACTAGAGACGGGGCTGGGACTGACTTAGACCGTGGAACGTGCCACACAAGAAGGAACGCGGGTAGGAACAGTCTGGGGAAACAAAAGCAAGGAGGCCAGTCTGTCAAGGCACTGTGCTGCAAGGGAGGTCTGGGCACAGCTCAGCCAAGAAGGTTTGGCAGGGACCTGGGGAAAGGAGATGCAGAGGACTACCAAGATGTGACAGCTGAGATCAAGGGAAGTTGTACTTCATATATACAGAACTGTCTTAGATGTTATGCATGCCTAAAAATTGGGTTCTTAATTGTATTGACTATTTGCTGTCAAGATAAGACATGACTTCTTCCATTTAGCAAGAGTATTAGCTACTTTTTACATGCCGCAGCAAAATTCCTCTTGCTAGGTAGGCTTGCTCAGCCACTATCCTTCCTCTTTGTCCTTAGCACAGCTTTGTTTCACAGAAGGCTCAATTTGACCCATAGCAAATGTACAAAATGTTGTGGCGTGGGAGGAATAAAAGTTTAATTGACGTGGGATTAGTCTGGCTTTTATTACTAATCATTGGAGAAGCCAGGAGTGCTTTATGTAGGTCATCCCAAACAAGACTCGGTGAATGCTTTTTCCTCCCTACATCATCATCTGCTTTGTTTATGCCATGCTAAAGGCAACAGTTAATTCACACACTTTGGAAGTGCTAAACGTTGCAATCCAAATTGCCTACTGGTGGGAACTGGGACAGCTACACAGGAGGAAATGAAACTGCTGCAGTTTATAACCAGATTATAGTTTCATCCTGGGCTGGTGTTAGTTTTCATCTCAGTGGCTAAGCTGAGTTGATTTTGTGCTATGAATCTTAACTGCACACACCTGGGAGAAGGCAAGATGATCTGAAAGTTAAAAGCTTTCATCTAAGCTGCTCGGTTCCTGTTGTGTTAGCATGATATTGAGTGACTTAAGCCTAGTGGCATCTCACCTCGCCTTAAACACCTGATGAGAGAGAGATGCCTGCATTAGGGTTTTTATTCCCCTCCCCAAGATGTAAATAGCCTCTAGTCACAAAACATTGCTTGTTGGTGCTTTTTTTCAAATATCACTAATCCCTAAGAAAATACTTCTGATCCTGGATTCTGGATTGATATTATCTGAGATGAAATTCTGTAGATTTTGGTGGGAAATAAATTGTTTCTGTGACGCAGCAGTTAAAAAGAAAATACAAAGCCAATCACAAATTTGCTTATACTAGGAACAGCCTTAGGAAGCAGACTAACCAGGTCGCTGGTGAAGGGTGCATGTTGTGTGCCATGGGTCTGCCATCTATCACATAGCTAGAAAACACCACCTCATCTCATACAAATGTATTAGTCAGGCAAGTAGACCTGGTAAATCACAACAACTTATGGTAGAGTTGAATACCTTCTGGCCGGCCTGTGCCTCTCTGGCCAGCCTAGCGTCAAAGCCTGCTTTTCCTGAGATGAAATCTGATTACCTGCCGCAGCTGGTTGCTCAGAGAAGTAACTTAGCATGTATTTTTTAAGGTATTTTTTCTCTTTGTTTTGGCATTGTGCATGTCATGGCTGCCATTTTTATTTCTGAAATGAGTAAAGTCAAGATGCTAATGAAAGCACTTGCTTCCCACTACACTGTTTCCTAAGAGAACATCTTCTGTACACAGTCTGAAAAGAATACAGTTTTTAACCATGAGAGTGTTTCCTAGATGTGACATTTTCCACATGGCCAGTGGCAAGTAGCCTTAGCATTGAAAATCTTGTAGAAACAGTGAATCTCGTGCTAAGCAGGTACTCACTGATGAGAATATCTGCTGTCACTCTGAGGTTGAGAAGTCCTTGCTGTATTAGGCATATTGCTGTAAGTATAACGGAGGGGTTCATAATGGGAATGCCATCTTTTTATCAAATCCAGCTGTTATTAAGGTCCTCGTTCTGATGGCCCACTGTGTTTAAGTATGCATCTGTTTGCATAGATCTGTCAGCATTCCCATTATAAACCCATCCTTTCATGAAGGCGCAATGTGGGCACAAACCTTAAACCAAGCTGTTAAGTTCTTTGTCTGTAAATAATGGATCCACGCAATATGCATGCTGTCGATAAGATTATATCATTGGAGAAATTTTATATGATCATGTAACTGGAAAATAACAGGTAACTCAGAGATAAATTTAAGGATATATATGTGACTGTCTTAGACAATTCCCTGTCTTTTGAATGTTGTGCATCTTTAACATTCTTCATTTTAAATATGCATGTTAAAATGGCATGTGACAGTGTGCAATATGTCTTTATAGATTGCATGTGTCTCTTCATAGCCAAGAGGAAACAGCCTTTTTATGTGTATGTGATACTGGGGCATGGGTATCAATGTATATATGAACTGGGGGGACCAAAGAAAATTAAAGAGGGAAAAGGGCTCTTAAACTGCATAAACCTGTGCTGCACCCAGCACGTTGGTCCTAATACTTTGTGCACGTCATGCCATTAGCTTCAGTGAGAGAGCTTGTGAGCTTACGGGTTTTGCTGGACCCAATCCAGAGTGCCTAGTGTGTCCAGCATTGCTTCCAGTAGGAGAGGAGTTTTCATATGGATAATCACACACTATTGCTTTCCAGTGCCTGTTGCTTTGCCATTGCAGAATAGGCCCATCCTCAATGCAGACTGCTTGCCACATACGCAGTGGCAGTGCTACAGGCCAAATCACAGCCTGTCCTGTGCTGGTTGTCCTACCTGAAGGAGCACCCCTTAAGTAAGCTGTGTTTGCACAGCCTGCAGAGTACAGTTCCTAAGGCTGCCTAGCTTTTTTTTTCAGCCAAGTGATGCCCACATATTAGCCAGGGCTCTCAGACAACCTGGCCTTGGGCTTACCCCTGGTAGCCTGCCTGCACTCGAGTGGAGGGGGCTGGGGACAGGGGCTAGGGGAACACCACACCCATGGTCCTTCTGAGGACTGCTCTCTCCAAAGAGTATGGACACAGCCATCTCATCTCTTGGGTCCCGGCACTACATACACTCCTGAGCATGAGTCATGGGAAGTGCCAGGGAGGAGCTCGTGGACTATCGGCATAGCTGCAGGCTCGGAAAAAGTCTGACAGGACAGAGACAAAATCCTGACCTTAAGAAATGCAGCAGAAAGAGCAAGGTTTCCCTTTCCATGTAGCAGAAAGGGTCTTCTGCCATTTGCTGTTCTCCTTCACCTCCATCACCAACTTTGTGACTTGGTGAGTTTCACCATCAAAATACTGGGGCCTCTTAGAAGCTGTGTCTCCTCCTCTTCCCTCACCTAGGGCTCTGTAGCATGCAAAGCCATAATTTAGCCCCAAATTTTATTCTGTAACTCCTAATTAAGCATTTATATCCTCTTAGCTTGCAACCCGAATGTAATCTGATCATTATTCAGTGACTGCCTGGTTAATAGTTGCTGTGCAATTATAAACTTCCAGCTTGGTCATTTGTACCTACAGCAGCATAGTAAGGTACCCCTGAAATGTGCTTTGCGATTGTTTTAACCATTTAAATTTCAATAATGTCCTTGATAATTCTGTTAAGGGCATATTAACGTCTCTTTTCAAGGAAGAAACAGAAGGATTCTTTTTAGTCGTTGTTGTAAATATTGGGTTTAATTCAAATGATTGTTTGAATGTGTTTTGGAAAATAAAGTACAGGCTCAGCTGAACAACGATTTGTAAAGCGGAATGAATGAAACTCTAAGAATATGTACAAGAACTCCAGATTTCTATTCCACCAAGAGATCTTGATTTCAATAGAAGTTTTGCCTGAGTAAAGATTTGTCAAGATTTGGACTCTCATCTTTCTAAAAGCACTCTCTCTTGAGGGAGGTCTTAAGATCTGTGCAGAGCAATAGCACAGAAGAATTAGAGCCTGATCCAAACCTCATTGAAATCAAAGAAAGCATTTCCATTATTCAAAAGAAGATTACAGAGTGATATACAGGAAAATATCAGGAATTATTCCATCAGCCTTCACAGGAAAACAGTCAGCCGTAAGCTTTATTGTTGATGGCAACCATTATGCTTACAGTTCCAAGAACAACAGCTCTTCTTCTTAACACAATATTAGAACAAGAAACACCTACGTTTTCCTTTTTTTTTTTTTTCTTGGAGATGATGAAACTATTGCTTTAAATCATTCTGAACAGGACAAAAAGAAGATATTTTAAATCTAAATTAATATCTATAATTCAATAATCTGTTCGTTGCATGAAACAGTTTTGTAGCACACTGTGATTTTTATCAAAACTTGTAAAAATCCCATAAAATTAATATTTTTCATATTTACTGATAAATATGCAATCACATTCTTCTTATGTGATGCTTTTAAGAAATAAAATATAAAAATGATGCCTTTATTAATAACCTACATTCTAGAGCAACAGAAACAGAACTCTACTTGACATGTTAAGACCATATATAATTTTCATCTTCATTACATTTTGTAGTACATTTTACAGCAGATATGACTCTTTTTTCCTTTTAAATGAATGCATTTTAAATAGTCTAGCCAGATGTTTGGCTTTAAAATAATATAGTTCAGGGATGGAATTGGTCAGCTGCGTAGACATTTGGCCAGTTTTTCTCTTCCTCTTTTCCCCAGGTATAAACTTTTGTTCACTTAAAGCTACATGCAAGTCAGGATTGGATGGCTTTGAGATGCCCATTCTGACTTCGAAGGAGCTGGTTTCCAAGGGAGCAAAAAAAATACCTGTTCTCTGCCAATCTGCCATCCTTCGGATTTCTTAAACTAGGTATCCACAGGAGCATAAATCCTGTTAAAAGTGTAAGCTTAATTCTGGCACCTCTGCAGTTGAAAGACTATTTTCATTGCAAAATTGAACCACTGCAGATACATGAATCTCAAGAGGTGGAATAATGGTCAGTTCAAGATGTGACTTTTCCAGCTGTCTGTCCATGCTGCTGGCAGCCATTACTGTTCTCCAAGAGAGGCGGCAGAACAGGAATCGCTCGGTCCAGCGTACAAGCTTAACCCGCCGCTGAGTCTCACCTACGGGCGCTGTGTGCCTACGAGTAGTTTGAAACACTGCTTCCAATAAGGGATGACATTATGCCTCACGTTGGAGCATTAACTCTGAAACTTGGCAGTTATTAAACTTGTGGTTGTTCACTGTTTCATTGCTAACCTGCATATTGAAAGTATGTAATGCAGGTAATATATACAATATATAGACCATAATACAATGGTCTGTCTGCCTTATCAATTTACTTACAAGTGCTTTCTTCTAGTCTCTTGTCCAGTGACTTGCAGGAGGAAGGCTTGGGAAAAACCCTGCTACTCTGTGTGTTCCACTCCCCATCACATCGTGCTGCAAGCTCCCAGCCTCCTCATT